AAGAGCTGAAATTATAGGCTTTCTGGAAAAAACGTGCTTATAGACTTTAAAGAGTCAGAAAACGAATTTCAGAAGAATAGCAATTTGGTGAAAGAGTGGGAGCTGGTAGTTCTGTTGCTTGGAAACAAAAAAACAAGACATATAAGGCAGCAAATGGAGAAAAATACAAAGCAGCAATAGAAGTTCAAGTTAAGAAAGGCCTTGAATAAAGAAAAAATTGAGGCAGAGGGCCAAGGAGAACCAAAAGTGACTTGAAAAGTCAGAAATGACCAAAGTAAGAGCCAGGCTCAAGACATCACCCTGTCTTCAGTGTGCTTTCTTGTACTTGGATACTTCAGCATATAGGATGTAATTTCCAAAGTGTTGAGAGAGGTATAGTTAAAGCCTACTCAGCTGTGAACAGATAGACACAATGTGACCAATCAAGATGAACCTGTGTATTTACTCTGGTTTTCATGCATTTTTTAGTTTAGCATCCAGACCTCCCTGATGCACTGTTGGTACAAATTACACACCAGACCCTCGTCCATTCTGTAGGAATTCTATCAGCAAACTCTGGTACTTCCACATTCAAAGTTGCTCTGAGGCAGCAGAAACCACTCTTTTGTCAGCAGAGTAACTCCTCTACTCCAAGTAAACTGCTCCTCCCTCACCGCTGGGAGAAAGCAGCCAGCAGAAGGCATGTATGGACATCCCCATGCTTTCTGTCAGTTGCCATGGTTCCTTGAGCAGCTGCGCTTTTCAATGGTGCACATTACTGCTTGCTGGCACAGCCAAGGAAGCAGAATCACACACTGCTGCCTGAAGTTAAGCAGGTGTGCATGTGCTCTGGCACTGTTCCTCTGCCAGTAGAAGCCCCCAGTATAGACAAGAGCTATTAGAATCTACGAAAGCAAAAACGGCCTTCTACTTTCTGTACAATTCACGTACCTCATCCATGCCAGAGGCAGTGAAGAAGATGCCAATCTCCTCTGCGTATTTCTTCAACTCCCTGTATTGGTCATGACTGAACTCCAGGTGGCGCTTGTGCTCTCCATAGGTCTTTCCCCATGAGTGTTTGGAGGTGTACGGCCTCTCCAAGGCTTTCTTGTTAAATTTGTGCTCCAACTCACTTTTCTGAAATTTAGCACAATCAGCTCCGCACTCCTGCAAGACATATCGCCTCCAATTTAGTATCTGCATAAGACGATTACCACTGAATCAACAGTTGCCATGGACTGCTAAATACAAATACTCAGTGTCAATAAACCTCCTTCTCATTTTGAGATGTGTTTCACATACTTTGAGAGCATCTTTCTATTTTTGACAAAATTAATGTAATGAATAGACTCAGGGTGTCCATATATGTTGTCAGCTGATCAAATAAGTTATTTCAGTCCCGAATGCTAGCTTTCACATAAAAACCACAGATCTGCTAGGAACAATTTCTGGCAGAGCAAGTGGGCGAAGTTAGTGAAGCTGCCTGCCTAAAAACACATATTCCTAAAAGTGGTTAGGAATATGTGTTTAGGAAAACACATTCCTAAAAGGACCTTCCCCAGGATACAAGTCACTGGTGCAGAGCACATGGCTCTGTTCCTTTCTCAAGTCCACGGTGATACAAGGCTATCACGCTATGGTGCAGCTTTGCAAGCTAGAAGCAGGGTCTGCCCAGGTTTCTCGCCTGCTTTCGAGCCCCTCAGTTCCTAAGGCTCTGAGGAAACACTGCGGGGGCTGAGCCCTGATGAGCCAAAAAAGAAAAAACTAGACTAAGTCAGCACTGATGCACTCTGCATCTGGCAAGGAGGAGGGGGAAAGCAGTGGCGATGTGTAGGGGGTGCATGTGCACCCCCTGACAGCCGGTGTTCCCTGCTTAGGCAACGGGCAGAGGGGAGGGCTGGTGCTCACCCTGAGAGTGCCAGTCAGGGAGTGGGGGCACCAAGAGAAGCCCTGCTGGCACTTCTGGATCGGCCGCAGGGGACCCCTACTGGTCCCTGACTGGTTGCTGGGGGGGGCCACCAGTCCCCTTACTCGAGAGACACTGGTCGCCCACAGAGAGAAGGAAGACTGGAGGAGAGCAGCTCCCCCTGAGGCAGGAGGTGTGGGGGGCCCTGACTGGGTGGGAGGTGGGGAAGGAAACCCCACCGCTTGCATTCCTGGGCCACCCAAAGTTTAAAACCAAGAGCCTGCCAGCGGCAGCAGCATTTCTATTCAGGGGAGTCCCTTGACTTCATGGCCGCACAGGTGTTAAGGCCCCTCGGTCCTTCCCAACGCCCTGCAATGCTGCCTTCTGCGCAGCGGCCGCCCCTTCCTGCTCCTGGACTCACAGCTCCTCTCTCGGGCGGGTTTCAGCTCTAGCTGGAAACACGAACGGGGGTGGAAAGCAGGCCAGGCGGCGCTGCGCGGACGGAGCCCAGGGCTGGGGGCCCGCGCCGCCCACCTCTTTCCACGCGCGAGACGGGATGCAGCGCCCACCCACCGCGCCTGCGC